TTCTTGGGTTAGTGGTGCTGGCCTCATAACCCACTAGATGCAACTCGTATGTTTTTTTATAAAAAAAATGGTTATTTAAAATTCCGTTCTCTTTGACCCCAAAAAAAACAGAGAGAGAGAGAATAAAACCATTCTCTATTTTTTATTGGATGCTATTTTTTTTTTTAATGGAAGCACCTTTTTGTTCTGAGCAACCATGCTTATCATACCGTGTCACCGTGCTACTTTTGTTTTTTCTTTTACTAATCATCATAGCACTCAAACATTTTTATTTTTAATATAAGTCTTATAAATTGACAGACTTTGTTATTTTTAGAGTGAAATTTTAAGAATTTAATTAATTCGATTAAATCTGATCAAATAAAAGTTATATAATTACCAAACGAAGCTAGTGTGCGTACTGTATCCTGAAATTAACATACGATAACTAAAGAGGACGACATAATTTTGACGAGAAAACTAAAGCGACTCATTAGCACTGCATATCAATCATCAACTGAAAAAATTACTTATAGTGCCTTTTTGTTATTTAACTTCTTCTCTAGAATCACTCTGGACTTCTTTTTACATGCCAGTAATTCTTTGAGCTGTGAATTGGTAAGAAAAAAGAAGGGAAAAAATGGTAATAAAATTCTTTTAAATTATATAAATAATAATTTAATTTTTTAAAATACCATAATTTTACTGAAGTTTGTAAGGATTTCTATGTCAATAAATTTTGAAGTAAAAAAATATTTTACACTTATTAAAAATAACAAGCCCCAATTATAATTTTTTTTAAGTAATAACAATTTTTATTCTGTAAATTGTAAGATTTAAAAAAAATTATAATTTATCAAGTATAATTTTGATTATTAAAAAACAAGCCCTGATCACAATTTTTACTTGGGGAATAACAAACTTTTTTTTATAAATTGCAAGAGTTAAATAAAAAATTATAACTTATCAAGTGTAATTTATATTATTAAAAAATAATTTGTTAAAATAATAAACCTTAATCATAAATTTTGTTTAAAAAATAACAATCTTTATTTAAAAAATTAAAAAAATTGAACAAGCAATCACAATTTATTAATAAAGATAAAATAATTATTTTAATTTAAAATTTATTGACGTAAAAATTCTTAAATATTTTAATAAAATTATAGCATTTCAAGATATTAAATTATCATTTACATAATTTAAAAAAAATTATTATTATTTTTTAAAAAAAGAAGAGCGATCATGTTTAGTATTTATTAATATTTTAAGGAGGGTCGACTTGGGAGTATGGTCAATAAGCTATTAATAAATCTTTGTTGGACAAAAAGGTTGTGGATATTCTTTTGGCCCTTCAGCCTCCTATTTTGACCGTGTATGCGTGTATGTGAAACGGTTGTCACCTAACCTCTTGTTGCCTCATATTCTTCTGGTCTTATAAGACAAGGATAGAACATTAATTATAATCTTATTCCAAAACTTTATTATTTTTATATTCATTTTTTTCATCTATATTCTCATGAAATACTATAAAAAATATTTTTTATTCTTAGAAGATAGAGATAAAAATTTATTAAATTTTAAAATTAAATTAATAAAATTTAATTTTTTTAAATGTAAATAAAATATATTATAAGTGATTTATAAATAAATTTATAGCATTTTCTTTTTCCAAAACGTAACTCTTAATGGTTTTGCTTTTGGCTTTGTGGGTCCCAATGTAAAATACACTCTTTTTTAAATTAATGTAAAACTCTCTCTCTCTCTCTCTCTCTCTCTCTCTCTCTCAGGGGGAGGCATTACTGACATAAAGTTATGAGCATGATTGATCTGTGATCCGTGTCCACTTATAAGCTTACATGTCACTGAACTACAAAACTATTGACAAATATACTCTATATTAATTGGTTATAAGCATGAAGGTTACATGTTATTAAGCTACAAGACTATTGACAAATATATTCTATATTAACTAGTTCTCATTAATTACTAACTCCAGTAAATATCCGTAGTTAAAAGTTCGTTGTTTATATAGCAGTATTTGATTCTGTTTAAAAAATATTGATATAGCAGTATTTGGGAGGATAAAATTAGAGTATTTTATTTTTCTTAAGATCATCAGGGTAAATTGCCATTGATGTTGCTTGTTCACGTGACTCTTGTTCAGCCGGTCAATCAAAACTACATAGATATTATCATCACCATCAATTTGGAGTACTTCATCAAGCCAGCAATTAATTATGCCAACTTGATGAACAATTAATGACTTAATAATCACTTTGTCCACTTTAATTTGAATAACGCTTTCTCGATGAAAAGTTAATACTAACCAGTAAGAGTAATATTTTTGTTTTGGAAAAAATTAAACTCTAGATGTTTATAGTTTTATTTAATCTTGAATTAGATTCCTGTATTTTATTTCATTTTAATCAAACCTTATAGTTTAATTTATTAATCCCTGAAATTTAAAATTCTTGATATATATTTTAAAAAAACATAATTTTTTATATTTTATTAAAAATTAAATAACTTTATAATTAAATACATAATTTTAATAACTCAAAATTTATATAAACAAGCGTCTACAAAATAATTTTTAGCATACCAAATTTTAATAAAAAATGATAAAAATATAAACATTGTATTAAATTAAATTTTCTTTTTATTTTTTTAAATATTAAATCAAATTTTATATAAATTTTAAAAGTGTTTTTGTTTCGAAACAATTAATTATTCATCAATACAAATTTAAAACATTGACCTATCTAATTAATTAAATTATAAGATTTTGATTAAAATAAAATAAATAACAAGGATTTAATTCAAAATTGAAAAAAATTATAACTATAAAGAGTTGTAGATTAATTTTTTCTATCTTTTTAGTTTTTAGTACAGAAAAATTTAGTTGAGTTAGATCCCAGGACATTAGTAGGGTAAAGTCATCTCAATAAACTAATTCTCTCTCTCTCCCCCCCTCTATATATATATATATATATTTTTTTTTAAGACTAATGGGTATTTGGGCTGTTTTTTTTTTTGTGACCGAAGTTAGGCTGTTTAATTTTTGAACGAGAGCGTTTTGAAGCCCAAATGTGAAAGACAAACCTCACGGTTAGTCCAATTTTGCAAGACTGTGGCCCATAAGAGTAAAGGGGATGACGAGTAAAAGACCTCAGAAAAAAATTAATGTCAAAATAGGATTTTTTTTCCCCCAACAATAAAGTTTTCAAATTCAGTATTCCTTCTCTCATGTTTCATTATTAAAATTTCTAATTTGATACTAATTTTTTTTATGAGATCCTTACTTATCATTTTTTCAATGAAAAATATATGAAGTCGTAAGAATTTTGAATCATAAGTTTCCGTTCTACGTGTCTAATACAACTAAAAATAAAATAAAATCAACTTATTACTCCTAATAAGAAGGGATTATGATCGCCTCAAGCATGAAACTTCATCCTTGAGCCATGCCTATATGAGAGTTATTTTTAAAAAAAAAATACCTCCAAATTAAACCTAACAATACTTAAATTTAACCAAGTTAAGTAACATTATAAAAAATACAAAAAACAAAAACGCACTACTGTTTTATCAATTATGAGCAAATTTAAAAGTTTAAACCATTCAATTTCTTAATTAATTCTAACCGTTCATTTTCTTTTAGTTTGATTTCAAACAATGCAACCCAAAATCTCAACTTCTTCATTTAAAAGCTTTATATTTTTCACAGGTTCACTTTAATATATCCACAATTAGTGAATTAAAAAAACTACTGCACATTTTTAGTTTACATAAGACACGCAGTACAAAAAAAATTGGATTAAAAATTCATAATTCGTTCAAATAAAACCCCTCCTGGGTCATCCGTGAAGTTAATTTTTGTGCTTCACAACGGAGCCACTTTATCTTCTAAATAAAAATGATAGAACGAGGCTGATCAAGATGAACAGGAAAAGTGGCATATTTTTCATTCCCAATGATAATTTGTTTATGCATGATTCAAATTTAATTAAAAAAAGTTTGACTTTAATTTGGCCCTTACAAGTTGAAATAAATTAAAAGAAGTCAAGCAACGAAAAAAATCATGCTACGAGTGTTTTAGTCTCATTTGCATTGAGTTCAAATCTAAATTAATTAGTAGCATTGGAAGCAAAATAATTTTCTTTACTACGGTATTTGACTTGACTATATCTTTGAAGTTGACTTTTCCCTATATTTGTGGGACTTTTGTTTATGAGCTGAAAGTTGAAAGTCTCTAACCAACGAGGCTTCTTATTCAACTATGTGGACAAGCTTTATTAATAATTAATAATAATTATTATTATTTCGCAATTGCCCTTCGCAAAGTTCTCTCTTCCCGGCCTTTGAAGTTGTTGATGTTTGAAAAATGATTCAGACAACAAAGTTTCGGTCAAATTAAATATAACATTAGCATTGGGATCACAATCTCCGGTAAAAGTTTAGATCTAAAAAACCAACCACGAAGAAAAAGGGAAAATTTTATTCAAAGATCGTTGGGATAATTTAATACTATTAATAATAATTAAAAGATTTTAAGATATTACTGTAGGACTAGGAGATTTATTTAAAAATAATTTTAGGTGAAAAAGACTATAATATCTATACTTTTTTGTTTTAATTAATAAATAGTCATTTATTAATTAATAAATACTTATTTGTATTTAATAAGAATTCAATAGCTAATTGATAAATTTAAGAATATGAAAGGATTTGATTGTAAAAATAAATAAATATAGATCGTCTTTTAATAAGTAGCTATTTGTTAATTAATCAATATTCATTCGCATTTGACAATAAATTATTCATTAATTGATAAATTTTAACAAATAAAAAAAAAGTAAGGGTATTATAATCTTTTTATATCTAAAATTATTTTTAAATAAGTCTCTTGATTTTGTAGTGATATTTTCATATATTAAATTGCCTCAAAGATCCTTGAATGATATTTTCCCAAATAAATATAAATATATCACACTTCATGATACTACAAAACAAAGCCAAAAAGAAATTGACGATCTTTCATATATATCAAATGCAAAAAATATTCAACCTCATCCTTAATCAAGCTCTGTTTCATGTATAACTTGTCCATCTACATGTATAACCCTCTTTTGTTATCTACACGCATTGATCTAATAGCATTGTCTATCTGAATGCGCTACAGTAGCAGAGGAAAAGGAGACTGGTAGGGACCACACCCTCAGGTTTTTTTTTTAAATATTATATTGAGGTTATAAATTTTCAACCTCTCAAAATTCATGTAAACTTTATATTGATACACTATTGGGAATGCCTCTGCATGTAATACCAGGATCTGAGCTAGGAGCGAGCAATTCATAAGGTAACACACCAGCCCCACAGCGGTTTCTCAAGTTAGCATCACAATTCCTTCTCTCAATCTCCTTCTCTAGCTCTCTGATCTTTTCTGAGAATCCATGGAAGGCCCTGATCATCTCTGAATCACCTGTCCAAGACGACTCTGGTCGCCTCTCTCCCAAGTATTCCTCATCAGGCGAGTGAAGAGATAACGTGTCCACCACAGCCATATAACTCGTAGCTTGCAACAAACTTGGCAATGATCTCAAGAAATACTTCTGTGGATCTGCTATCAAATTAGCATACTCTGGATCACCCACTTCTGGGATCAATCTTCTCACTAATGGCGGTCGATTTGGGACGTACCCTCCATAAGGGTATTGCCCAAAATTAAGAGCAGCATGTTGTGCAGATGCAATCCAGATCAAGGTAGTAAGGATGGAGACAAGATCATCAGTATTGTTCAACGTGGGCCACCAGGTTTTATGGCTAAGATCAGCATGTCCTACGTTAATTGCTTCATAGTACCATGACTGTAGTTCCTTGTCACTGCAAATTAGGCTTGAACTTGGGTAGTAGTGCTTCACATAGGTGCGGATCCAGCTCTCAATTGCAGACCAGATCATGAGACCATCAGAAGCATAAGGGTAGTCTTCTATCAGCAGCTTTAGACCGTGTGGTTGAGTTGGATCAGGTTTTGCCATTCCTCTGCAACATTATCAGAATCTTTGTGAGGTAAATTCTGCAATTTTACACATTTTGGAAGACTTAAGAAGGCTTAAGGTAGGGACATGAATGTATATGTATATGCATATGTATATACCTGCGGATGAGATCAGCGGGTAGGGCTTCCATGTCAAATCGCCAGAAGCTTTTGTAAGCAGAAGAACTGAGCTCCATGCAGTAGCGTCCAGGCGCGAAGGAAGCCTCAATGATTCCACCTGCATTGATTAGTCTTTGACGAGCCTGGGCATTCATCTCCAACGTGTACCTCATGTGTGGATCTAATAGCTTGAAGATAGGATGCATTGCACTTAATTGCCTATGAGTAGCCAATATAAAGGGTTCCAAACAAGCATGCGTGCGTAACCTTTACATAGTTATATGAACGAAAGAGTTAGGATATATATTTAATCAAGGATATCAGTTAATTAGTGAGAAAAATGGAACTGTGCTTACCAATGGTTAACAAGCTGGTGCACACCAGCATCATTGCTACAAACATGAGCCTTGGCAAGCTGCCATATCCAACTGGTGGTAGCATCAGCCGGAGGCGTAACGACACGTTTTGATCGTGAACTCGGTGTCCCAGATGGAAGGCTAAGTTCTATAGCAATGGGCTTGAGAGTTCCAAGGGGAGTTAAGAAGAAAATGGTGCGTGTGGCATAGGATTTTCTACCATCAAGAGCATTGATTTTATCAAGAAATGGAAGGTAGATATCATGGTAATCTAGGATAAATAGCTTATTCTCCCTTATTGCCTGAAAAAGTTTCAAGACACAAGGTCAGTACCATTGACTATCTGTTCATGAAGAAAGGACTAGTTGTTCATGAAGGCTCTTGCAGGTACCTGTTGCACTGTCATCCCACTAATTTGCCCTAAAATGTGCTCTTCTTTAAGAGCAGACTCTAGGTTTCCGTGCACTTGAGGGTCAAGCTTGCTCACTGGTGGGAAAACTTGGAGCCTCTCAATGTTGACAGGGTTGACTCCTGCTATTACTTGGCGAGCGAACTCATCATCTCTCATCCAAGCAAATTTGTCCTCTGCAGGGTGGTTAAAAAAAGAAAAAGAAAAACAATGAGATCATTATTTAGTGACTTCCCGGAACTTTCAAAGTGATTGTTAAGTAGATAACAACCACTCACTGGAAATGATCATGGGAGTGTCAAACTTAAGAAGTCTGAGGCTGCTTTCTGGGATTTTTCTGACAAAGTCTACATCTTTTAAGGATTTGAGGAGAAACCCTTCAGAATTAACGTAAAGGCCATCAACATCAGAGAAGTCATTGAAGTCATGATTATCAGCACAAAGGCTAGCCTTTAGACCAGGGATCAAGTTATGAAACAATGCTTTGAGCCTCATGTGAGAGAATGCAAGCTTCTTAGACTCCTCAAACTGTTCATCTCTGGGCACGTACATTGGCAATGGCTTCTCCACACGAGACTCTGCATTCATGTCTGTATCAGTTGGGGGACGACCAGTACGACACCGTCTCGGGTATGGATAGTCTTGAGATCCTCCGAGGGTTGGTCTGGTAAGGTCAGGACCTGAATCTGGAAGGCCAAGATCATTGTATACATCAAAATCATATATCCTATCACTTAGCTTTCGTTCTCCTTTTCTATCTCCTCTCAGAATTTTCAGCTCCTTCTCTCTCAGTAATCTCAGCCCGCTTGGTGTATCATTTGGTAGATATGGCTGCTCAAATTCAATCAATTATAACACCAGTAAATAAATCAACATTTATAAGTTCCTTCTAATTTGTTTTACCAGAGTGAAAGAAAGCGTTATATTTTATTAATTTTATTTTAAAATTTAATAAATTTTTATTTTTACTTTTAATAAATATTTTTAAATATTATTACTGATATTTTTATTCAAAATGTTTAATAAGAGTAAAAATGTAAAGAGGAGTATTAAAAATTAACAAATACTTTATAAATATAATGAAATTTTTTTCTTTTCTTTTTACTCTATATATAGAACTAGAGGAGCAAGTAAATAAACAATTAAGCACAACATATAAAATTAGTTTCGGACAGGTTAAGCGGCTCAAATAAATCACACAATAAACCTAAAAATCACCAAATTTTTATACATGTTTATAAAACAAACATTTACAATTTAATAAAATTTCTCGTATTTTATTTTAAGAATTTTTGAAAAAGTTAATCGCTTGACATGTAATAAATAGGAGAGAAGATTTTTATAATGAGCGTCTGAAGACCAAGAATTGGTCAAGATGCAATTTCAAAAGTGGCAGGGCTTTTCATATTATCATTAATGGCTGTTAGTTCACAAGTTCAATCACAACTTGGAGGAGTTTTCCGCCGAAAAGACTTGCACATTAATATATATATATATATATATAATAAATCAGCAAAAATCAAGAAAATGATAATAAAATTTTATTAAAATATATAAATAATAATTAAATCTCTTAAAATATCATAATTTTTTTAAGCCTTTAAATATTTTTCTAACATTAATGATTTTAAGTTAAATAATTAAATTGCCACCTTGTTTAAAATAATCAATATCAATCATAATTTTTATTTAAACAATCACAATAATGTTTATTATATAAATTATAAAAATTAAATGAAAAATCATAACTCCTCACATAAAATTTTTTAAATAAGGATAATTTAATCATTTAATTTTAGATCATTAATATTAAAAAAATATTTAAGGATTTAAAAAAATTATGATATTTTAAAAAATTTAAAAATTATTATTTATATAATTATGTGCAATTTTATTGTTATTTTTTTAATAAAAATCACAGTCCAAAAAACATTATATATATATATATATGTATATATATTCAATTTGAAATTTGTCTGTCTTTTCCAAAGCTTTCAAGAGGGAACACACAAGAAGAAATAAAACAGCGTTGACCTTTCTATGCAAAATAATGAATGAACCAGAACAACCAACAGGATTGGCTGCATCTGTTTCAGAGCCCTGTACATTTTAAATGCCCTGAACCAGCCATTAAAAAGAAATAACTGAACCAAAAAAAAAAAAAAAAGTCCTGGGAGACTTTTATTGAGCTATATGATTAGTTTGTTCGGAATAAAAATCTGAATTAACCTGGGTATCTGTCACTGCAAAATTTAAAAGTCAAAAGTGAAATCTGCTTTACCTTGTTAGAGAAGAAAACCCTGGGATGAGGATGGTGTTTTCTGGGTTGAACCCAGGAATTGCAGGGAAAATGAAGTGTGCCACTGGGAAATCCTTCGATTGTTACAGTTTCCAAGAAGAACTCTTTTTGATGTTTGTTGGTCACAGTAATAGCTCCTGCTTCTGCGAAATCAGAATCCACCATGAATTCTGCTGTGTAATTCACTCTCTCTGCTCGAACATTCCATTTCTCAGACCAGTCCTTCAACACTGCTTCTTTGCTCTTCCTTGGACCCTTTGTCCCTATTAAGAACCAAACCAAATCGATTTAACCTTAAAAAAGTTAACTCTTTTAACATACCCGGAAAGTGAAAAGGTGAGATTCTTACTTGGGTCTATCTCTGTGCTGATGAGCTGAAGAACAACGTTCATTCCTATTCTATCAGTGAGAGCATCAATATGTTTCATAATGGTGTCTGTGAAATCTTCTTTTATCTTGTTCTTCACTGTGACAACCGCTCTGACTTTGAACTTCACAGGTTTTTCTGCAGACACGGAAGCTCCGATAATTAAATCCTCACTAACAGCCGCCACAGGAACCTTGAGAGTCTTCTTCAACCTCACGAACCTCGTATTCTTCAAGGCAATCTGTGGAAAACTATGATTCAGAAGCGCTTGTGAGGAAGAAACAAATGAGGATCTGTCCATCAACGGAGAGCCCATGATCTCTCCAAAGAGGACGGCCATTTGGATGTTTCTGTGTGTTTCCCTCTCTGCTAATTCTTGAGAGGAAAGATCGGAAATGATCAAATGAATGAGAAGGAGAGAACAGAAGCGAAACGCAGTCACATCTGTTTTAAGACGGTTGAATTGGGTTGTGCGAATCAATGGCTCCGCTTTTACAGAGTTGTGTGAATCAATGGCTCCGCTTTTACAGAGTTGAAATGTTGTCGTGGATTTTTCGATGCACACTAGAAAAATCAAATCAAAGGGGCTGCTGACTCACAACGAGGAGGTTGTTGGTGAGAACTATTTATGAAATAAAGTGGGCTCTGATGCGAGCCTCGATCATGTTCCTCATTTCTTTATCTGCATGATCAGATGACTTAATTAATTTAATAAAGTTTTTAATTTTTCAATTTGGTCAATTAAAAAAAAAAAAAACACACACACACACACACACACAATTACTATCTGGTGAGATTAACTTTCACGCTAAGTGGGTGAGAAAGGAAAATTTTTGGAGTTTCATCATAATACTACAGTAGACAAATGACGAGATCATGATAATCTTGTGTGTGTGGTCCTCTTTTTTTCCTTTTGTCATCCTAAGTCTGAGGTACGGTCGAACTGAGAGAACTTTAGTGGAACTCAGATTAATTTGCATAGAGTGGGGACGACATCTTTTCACATAGAAACTCTAACAACCTTACTACATTTTTTAAATTCAAACTCAAAAGGTTAAGGAATGCTCCCTCCCTTTTAAATTATAAAATATTTTTAAATAAAATATTACATATTAATAAATCTTATTAAATATATTTAATAATTTTATTTTTTAAAAAAATAAATTTTTAAAAATACTTATAATTTAATATATTAAAAAAAGATAAAAATTAATTATAGAGAGAGAAAGGATAATATTAAAATTGTTGCATTTAATAAAACCTTAGTCTATTCAAATGTCTTATATTTTGAGATATTTTTTTTTTCAAAACTGTCCTATAATTTAACACGGAGGTAGTACTCTCTTACCAATTAAACCAAATGCAAAATGATTAAGGGCTCATTTGATTTCATACTTATTTTTTATTTTTAAAAATTATTTTATAAACTAATTTTAAAAATTATTTTTGAAAAAAAAATAAAGTGAAAATATGTTTGATTATATTAATTTAAAGATAATTTTAAAATTAAAAAAGATTCGATAGTGTGGTGACCATTGGTGGTTGATGATAATGGCTTATGACTAGTTAACTATAACCAAAGCTAATTTACAATAACAGGTTAATGTAATGTGTTTTAAAAATAAAAAACGCACAGAACTCTAAAATGTTTTTATTTTTAAAACATAAAATAAGAATATTTTTGAAAACATTTTAATATAAAACACATGCTCAAACAAATTTTTCACTTTTTTAAAAGAAGAAAACAGTTTTTAAAAATATAAATCAAACTGAGCCAATATGTGTATGGTTTTCTTTCTTTCTTATTCTAATTCGCTTATTATTATCTCTCTTATTTGTCTTATTTGCGAACTAATTTTTAAGTTTCAGCTAGTTTGTATTCAATTTGCTATATTATTTTCTTTTTCTTCATATTTTTATTACAATAAAGTTTTGGTATTAGTTAATTCTAAATAAATAAATATATTCTTTAGCTCCTATATTTTAATTTGAATATAAGAACGTACAATATATTTGTATTTGACAATTAATAATCCTACTTTCAAGAGCACTGTAGTGGATCAAAGTCTCGACATGTGATGATGGAATACTCTTTATATAAGGAATTGGCTATCTTGAAGAGATCAAATTGAATTTGTATATGCTCAAGTACACTAATAAAAGCAACAAGATCAAGATCAAAGTATCCTCAAATTTAGATAACATATGCTTTCGATTATTACAACCATTTACACATGATTTTAATATTTGGGCAATCGATGTGAAGATTTAAGTCTAATTTGTTTGGGAGGAAAATTAATTTTGTACTAATTATTTTGTTTTGTTTATATTTAGTTAGAATTTTTATTTATTTTTTAATATCATGGATAGTGATATATTTTAATATTTTTAATGTTCCCTGCAGATCTGAATTTTCACCAAAAATATGTCACTGACACTGATGTTGCATGCATTTAGGATGACCGAAACTTGTTAGGTTGTCTATTTTACCAACACCAACAAATTCAAAAGGCTCTGGCCAATAAAAAAAAAAAAAAAAAGCCGGCAAGTAATTAGAGAAACCACTGAGAAAAGGAATTGCGAAATAATAATCATAATAAAGCTTGTCCACATTCAAAGTTGAAAAATAAGCTTTGTTAGGTAGATACTTTCAAGTTTCAATTTTCAATTCATAGACAAAAAGCTCCACTTCAAAGAAATTGATCGTTTTTTTCTTACCAAAAAAAAGCGCCCTTCGTTTATATATATATATATATAAAAATTATATCGTACACTTTAAAAAAATTAGTTAACAATAATAATTATATTTAAAAATAAAAAAATTAAGTAAAATATCTTGTATTAATTAATATAAATATGCATTAATTATTTTTCATTAATATAAATTATGAAGAATAATTTAAAAAAATTATAATAAATGCTTATTAAAATATGTGATTTTGATTATAAAAAAATTAAAATTTATAGTTTTTCTAATAAGTAAAAATGGAGAAAGTAGTTAACTGACTTAGCAAAACTTGACTAACCTTGATTTCAAAATTATAAATAAGTTTGTTATTTATTTTAGGGTTAATGAGTATCGTAAACTCTAAATTATTGCATGAATAACATTCTAGATCATAAACTCTTGAAATGTGTAAAAACTCTTATCAATTTTTAAATTCTAAAGGCTTGAAATTTTACCGTTAAGTTGGAGAAAACGATCATTACTTTTTTAGTTGTGGGATGCAATCGCACATTGATATTACACTCATCTTGACTCTTAAAACTAACGATAGTTTTCTCCAATTTAATGGCAAGGTTTTGGCTTGGAATTTGAAAGTTGAGATAAATTTTTACACATTTTAAGAGTTTAAGATCCATGATATTATTCGCGCAATAGTTTAAGGTTTATAACTTTCATTGACCCTTTATTTTATGATGACTAACTTATTTATTTTTGTAAATCGCATAGATTATAATTGTATGAAAAATAAACTGCACAAGAAATTGAGATCTTTTTTTAAATAATTTCAAAAGTTAACATTTTTCAACATATAAATACCTTTATTTTAATATTCTGAATCACAATAAAAGCTAAATCTGAGTTTAATTTTGCCTTTTGCAGATGAATAGCATTCTATGAATTTAAATCTATACTCCATCTCCCTAATTATAATAGACAATTTTAAAAGAGTTTATTGATACCCTTTATATAAAGCACTTTATAAGGTTTTAGGAATATCATCAAAAAATATTTTCTTAAATTCCACTAAGCAGTAAATGAATCTGACCCGCTTGCTTGATAAAAGAAAATTGATGACAATTAATTGAGACCAAAGCCAGAAAGAAGGAATAAATTTTCAGACATGAACCAGTTTGTCGGTACCATTGAATTAAGTAATAATATCTTATAATTAAAAATGAAGCGAGTATTAATTAGCTGTGTTGGAAATAAGATATTTCTTTAAAAGACAAAATGGACTATAGACTATCAACAAGCATTTGTCTTGAGAAAGGAGTTATAAACATAATATCTTGAATTTAAATTCGTACAAATGTTTAAAAAAACATTTTTAAAATGCTACTTTCAATTGACTTTTTTTAATGCAATATCACGAAAAACTGTGCAAGAAAAAGAGATTAAGTTATGTCAAAATATAAAACATTTCTGCACCCAAAAGGTTGATATTCAAAAACCTAACATCAAAGTTGTTGTTAGAAGTTTGATGGGCAAGTCCATTCATACATTTATTAGCTTTTTCAAGTTTGTAGTCAAAAATAATTATCTAGTCTTTCCTGACAAAGTTCCTAATCTCATTGATAATTACAGAGAGAGGATGGTTAGGGGTAAAATCATGTTAGATAAGTGCAAGAGTTTCAAGAGAGTCAGAATATAACTAATGTATTTAAAGAATCTCTTTAGCCAATTTTCTTAATTAATTATCTCAAATGATGCTACCACGAGAAGTTATTCCATTACTGTCAACTATGCCATTAATGCCAAGTTTAACTCAATCAAGATTGGGCAGTGACTATCTAGTAAGAGATCTATCTTGATTTAGAAACATATGATTGAGCTTTAATTAAAAACTATAGTAAAATGCTCTAATTATTCTTCTATTTGTCTTAATTACACAAACCTCGTCTCTATTTTGAAAACACACAATTCAGTCTAATCTGTTAATTTCATTAGGAATATTACATTCTAAAATAACTCTAAAAGCTTATTTTTAAATAAAAATTTATAATAAAACAAATTTGTTTTACTAATTTAACCCTCACCCTAATAAATCATAAATTATATTATTTGACATTTACATAATTTCATTGTAAAAAGCATGTTTACAAATTTTAAATTTAAATTTAAATTATTTACATAATCTCTCTAACTTATACTCCCTTAATTTAAAAATGTAAGGCATTTTTTAGGGGTTGGATGTTCAAAAATGTAAGATATTTTTAATCTTTTAAAGTGTAATTATTGTCCCTTTTCAAAAGTGTCCCTATTGAATGAATTGTTTTATATTTATTTTAAGGTGAAACATCATATGAAATAAAAATAAATATAAAAAGATAAGGTTAGTTTGGAGAGAAATAACTACTTTATTAGGAGTAAGATTTAGTTAAAAATATCTTATATTTTTGAACGAAGGGAGTATTATTTTATGTTATGTGATGGACGAAAATATGCATTTGAAATATATGTTTTTGGCAATTTTAAAAAAACATAAATAAGTTTCAATAAATTTGATAAAAACTAAAATTATAAGATTTTATAATATGATGAAAATTCATAAATTTTATAATATAATAAAAATTTTAAAATGTATTTGTTATATTCTTGTAGTTGTAAAAAAAATTTGGGCAAATCCAGATTTTTTAGATAATTCATATTTTAAAAGAGGGGCAATTTACTCAAATTAAAAGTTTAAAATTCAAACTTAATGATTAACTAACATTTGGATAGATGAAAATAAAATTCAAATATGTAACAAAAAAGTTTTATGTAACATATATTTTAATTTTAAAAAAGGTTTATATAAGTTTTTAAAACAGAAAAGATGCATGTGTAATTAAGGTATAATTGAATGGTGGTGAGTATATTTTGGGA